CTCCAGCCTCTGCTCGCTGCGGTGGCTGGGTCGGTGCTGGAGATGCAGGGTACCGCGCTGGGGCTCGAGGTTGTTCATCCCCAGGACCAGCAGTGAGTCCTGGTGAGCCCACAGGGACTGCGACGGGTGCAGAGGTGCCCCAGCCAGCTTCGTATCAGCTGCCAAAAACTGCATGTGCAGACATCTCTGCTGCTTTTACCCGTTTCAACAGTAGGACGGTTTGGCTCTGAAGATGTCACTCAGAGGTGAGGTTTTCCCGGCTCCTCTCAGAGCCAAGGAGCCCCAGGAGCAATGCCGGGGAGCGACACAGGACCAGAGGGAGGGCAACAGCTCCGCGGGGCAATGGCTCTCCTCACTGCTATCAGCACGGGCAGAACCCAGGGAGGCTTCGGGTGGGAGGATGAGTCCGGGACTTGTGCTGGGACATACGCTTATTCACTTTAAAAGAGTTAAGTGATATGCAGGCTTTACTATTTAAAGAACAACCTCAGCAGTGTTTTTGTTGGCTTGTAACCTTCCCTCCTTGTGAAACTCTATCGCCTCCTCCCTTTCCCCTCCCAGCTCTGTTTCTCCTCTTATTTTTTCCCATGTGTTTTCATGGGGAAAAAGTAGAAAAGAAAATGAAAGAATGAAAGAAAAAATGAGATGGGAAACATGAAATCTGGGAAAGCGGTGGGGGGAAAGGGGTTTTCTTGTTGCTCATTTGCAAAGTCTCAGCTGAGCAGGGAAAAAATCTCCACTGAAATCTGGGAAGATTTCACATATCAAGTCACAAGCGCTGACAAGACAGTCCTATACGCTTCATTTACACATGGATGAGGAAAAATTAAAACTATAAATCAGCTGCAAAAATAAAATTGTTCAAAATATTAGTTCTGAAAAAACTGAATAAACCAGTGATGGTATACATATGTCCTGGTAGTTTCAGAAAAATAATGGTTTAGGGTTTTCTTTTTACTAGGGATGATATGGATAGAAAACCAGTGAATTAACAGCTTCTTGATTTTTGTTTGGTTTTTGCTCCCTTTATCTTTTTGCTGGCAGTGGCAGCGCACAGGGAAGGAGAATTTGATGCAAAGTGAATGACTGACAAAAAGGGCTTTTTCTTTCACTTGCCCTCTCCCACTTTGTCTCAGTGTCTAGACAATCCGAGTATAAAGCCTCCTTGATTGTAGCCTCCTGTAAAATGTGACAGAGGGTGTTACACGCACGCATCTTCTCAAGCCAAGTCCCTGAAAGTTGTCTGCTCAAAGAAACCAGCATCGCAGGCAGTTGGCTAAATGTGACAGAATACATGTACGCATGTACATGCTTAAAGTGATTTCAGCTAACTCAGGGGTTTCATAGACAATAAATATAACCACCATTCAGCATCGGTCTTTGTGTCAATGAATGGATTCCAAAACCTAATCTCCTTCAGTATCACAGAGCAGGCTTTTAATATCCAAAAGTCTCATCTCCCAGCATGTCAGCATTTGGAGCTGTGGAAGGCTGGGGTTATTCAGCCAGCTCTGAGATCACCAAACAAAATCTGGAGCTGTTTTACACTAAATTCTCTAGAGACGAGCAGACAACACTGTTCATCCAACATGCTGTGCAATTTACGGTAAAGGAACAAGATTTTATTCCATTTCCATTAGGAAAAGCAGCATTTCTCAGATGCGTGAGTTATGGGTCACGCAGCATTATCGTAATTTGACACGGGTATTGCTAAAAGGTATGTAACTAGCCTAATTAAAACAAACTTTTCTAATGCAAGCAAGTTGAATTTGTTTATTTTAAAGTTGTATTTTTATGGGCAATATAAAACATGTGTTTTCATGAAAACATAAAACATTTACGTGTGTTTTGAGACTTCCTTAGAGACAAATGAAAATAACCATTATGTTATTTGTCTCCTTTCTTGTCCTTGTTATGTTTCTTGGACTCTGACATTTACATTGCAAGCAATCCAACATCAGCCTAACCAGAATAGTAATTTCCTCCCACATGGTGGAAATATTATTTGACAAAGATATAAAATTAATTATATCATTATTAATTATTTATATGATCATAGCACCCTAATTACTTTCAGTTAGAAAACAGTTGAAGGCTAAGGAGATTTTATTAACACTGTTACTATTATTATTGTAAATCACCCTCTCTCAGTTTTTCTAGCGGGTCGTTGGTTCTCAATACAAAATGGAAGCCAAGACTGAAATACCCGCCAAAGCCAGACATCTACTCCATTAACAGAAACAAAAGCAGTTCTCCGTTAGCTAATTGAAGCCTAGGAAACGTACAAGAGTACCAGGAAAAGTCCATTTTTCATACTTCTATTTTAAAAGGAAAAGCTCCAACATGTCATATTTGAAAAGCAAAAAGTATCCATAAGCCTTTGCTCAGTCTAGCAGTTGTAAACCATGAGGAAAACATGGATGGGAGGAAGTCTGGTGTAAGTTCACTCCTTCAGAGCATCAGAAGCTTTTCCATAAGAATTTGTAATTCACAGATGAAACTCTGAATTACAGTATCTCTTCAGAGTCTTGTAGAAGAAAGTGGATCCTTTAAAAGTTTGAGGGAGGTGTACAGGGAGATGCAGGGAGACACCAATCTATTCTGCACCCTCCTATCCATGCCATGGCCTCTGTCCTCCAACCCCTTGCCTGGGAAAGGAGACCACCATGGGAGAGAGCTCCAACCTGCCAAAGAGATGGGGAGCGGGTTTGGACCCAGCAGGCTGCATTCTCATTCCTCTCCACGGTTTTCTTTGGAATGAAATGTGATGGTATATTTTTAGGAGAACTTCCTTCAGTGAAAGACATGAAAGGGAAAGCGAGATGACTGGTAACTGTCAACTGTCTTTTTCTGACCAAATCTACAAATCTTGTCTGGAAAGCACCAGCTGGAAAGCTGAGTTAAGAAACAGTTGTGTTAAAAAGAAATCAGAAGAATAAAATCTTTGGC